ATGTAGATACATTTACAATTTTTGAGAAGAGATCAATCTTGGAAACAAAATAGCATTTCTATCTGAAATGTATCCATTTGTTATATTTAATAGTTTGTCCGTCAAGTTATATATATATATATATATATATATATACATATATATATTTGTGAACTAGTATTTATTTATATTTAATATTGCATCTTTCAGTATGCTGTGGTGACTTTCACAGGAGAGGAACAAGAGGAAGAAGAAACAATTGCAGTGGTTCCTGTAAAATGGATTGATAAACCTGACGATAAGATCACAGATATATTTTGGCCTTCAAAGAACTGGCCAGAAAAAGAATCAAGACTTGTACACCTAAAAAAAAGCTGTACAAAATTGTATTGAGCCTAATGTTCATTGGCCTTTTCTTAAAGGATCAGTACTTCATTTATACCGTGAGTTTATAACTCTAATTAATATAATGTCAATTTTTTGTTGACATTTTTTAGTAAAATTTCGTTCAGTCAATATAAATAGAATGTTCAATTGATGGCTGTTTTATTTTTATAATGGTTGCAAATTTAAGCTGTATGTTTTAATAATAATTTTAATTTTAATATTCTACTAATTTTTAAATAATTCTATTGCAATGTTTTTTAACAGGATCACATTATCAAAAATTTATTGAAAATGTTGCTGTAACGTTTGTTATTCTAGGTCAATATGATGATGCTATTAGAGGTTTGAAGAAAGCTGAGGATGACACATCACTTGAAACAGAGGCAGATAATATTCCACGAAAGATAAAGCCACCAAGACGATTCTTGGATTCTGATGGAGATGATGAAGATGAAGAGAACTAAGAGCCGCCAAAGAAAAAAAGTTTCCAAAAACGTCAGGTTAGGAAACTTAGCGAAAGTGATGACGACAATGGGAACACAATTTTGCCCCAAGTGGACTCAGATATTTTGAACGCAATTAAAAAAAATATCCATGTGCCTCAAGTACATGATAAAGAGAGGAAAAAAGTGTCTCGAAAGCAGTCTCTCGAAAATCACGCCAGGCTTACAGTTCTTCAGGAGTTTCAAAATAATTCCAGTCAAGACTATGAGCAAAAACAAAAACAACTAAAAACGGTTTGCAATAGCCAATCTGAAAATAATGTCAGCAAGAAGCATAAAAAACTATCAAAAATGGATTATATCAAGTAGAAGAAGTTTACGCCAAGCAAGAACCATGCAAGAACATTTCAAAATAATAAAACTCGTTCAGTTCTCTCTCCTAAGGAGAGCACAATAATAAGCAGTAATAAAACTTCTGAGGTTTTGAAAACTCCTTTTAACTCGATAATATCTGCACCTGATCTTATATTGGATGATGATGCTTCTCAAGATACTGATCAGTTTTCATTTTCATCTTCAATATAGACAAACAATTCTGATAAACCGTCATGTTCGTCTGAAAATCCATTGTTGGTACAGACCATTACTTCTGCAAGCTTTGAAAGACGTTTTCATCCATTAATGAATTCTGAAGCTAAGCAAGATGAAACTTATTCTACTTCTGATAAAGCAGATAAGGAAGAGTCGAGATTACAAATGAAGTCTTCTAACTCATTTAACTCCAAAGGTAAAGATATTTTATTTTTGTTTTTACTCCAGCTTAATGGTTTTGATTTTCTTCATATGTTTTCATAAGATTTTTTTAAATCAGATAATTGCGGATGCAAACACTGTCACAATGAAATGAAGCTAAATAATACAATACTTCTGGAAATAAATAAAAAGTTGGATTCAATGCTAATTAACCAGACAATCATCATTCGATCTGACAACCCAGATTATGCTAAGTCTATGTTACCTTCTAATATTCCATCTATTCCATTGAAGACACAGGAAGACTTTCGAAAAATAGAAATATTTTTGACAACTCGAGTCAATTATGAAGCTGTGGTAAGTCATGTAATTTATTAACCTCAAAAAATTGTATCAAATTGAAAAAAATAAGACCTTTGTATCTTAAATATATAATACGAC